GGTCTATGAACAGGTTCCTCATGAGCACAATTAAGTGTTCTGGCATGCCTATTCTTCCTAATGTTATCCATAGCTTGTCAAAATCCACACAGTCAAAAGCCTTTGCGTAGTTAATAAGCCCAAGTAAGCTTATTATCTTTCTGGTAACTCTCTGCTTTCAGACAAGTCCTATCTGACAGAAAGAATGAGATCCCTTGTTACACATCCTTGTTTGAATCCAGCTTAAACTTCTGGCTGCTCCCTATCATTGAACTGTTACAGCCACTTTTAAATCATCTTTAGCAAAAAATTACTTGCATGTGACATTAATGACATTGCAAATGATTTCCACATTTCATTGGGTCCCCTCTCTTTCAAATGGGCACAAATATGGACCTCTTCCCATCAGTTGCCTAAGCAACTGTCTTTCAAATTTCAAGGCATAGAAGAGTGAGTGTCTCCACTGCTGCATCAATTTGTTGAAAGATTTCAATTTGTATTCCTTCAATTCCTAGAGTCTTTTTCTTTGTCAATGCCTTCAGTACAGCTTGGACTTCTTCCTTCAGTACCTTAATCATACGTTACCTCTTGAAATGGTTGAACAAATACCATTCTTTTTGGTAACTCTCTGTATTCTTTCTAGCTTCTTTTGAAGTGTTTTACATGACTCCGTTTTTACCCGTACAGTCCTTCAATATTGCAAGTCCAGGCTTAAATATTTTCTTCAGTTCTTTCAGACTGAGAAATGCTGAACATGTTTTTCACTTTTTCAGTTTTCTAACTCCAGGTCTTTGCACATTACTTATAATGACTTTGTCTTCTTGACTGTCTTCTGAAATTTACTATTCAGTTTTTCACCTCCTCATTTCTTCCATTTGGTTTAGCAGAGTCTATTCTGATATTCATTTTGGTCTTTTCCTTCTTTCTTGTCTTCTTAATGACCTTTTGCTTTCTTCCTGTATAATGTTCTTGATGCCATCCCATAACTCTTCTGGTCTTAAGGTCATTAGTGTCTAATGCATCAAATCTGTACTTGAGATGATCTGTAAATTCATGTGGGTAGGTTCAAGAGCAATTTTGGCTCTCGTGGACATGTTTTAATTTTCTTCATCTTCAGCCTGAATTTGCATATGGACCAACTGATAGTCTGTTACACAGTCTGTCCTGACCTTGGTTTGGATAATTATATGGAGCTTTACTTCTGTCTCTTCCCATAGATTTCTATGCATTACATGTAGTGAGGTTCATTGTGTATAGTTTTCTTTTATACTTCTTAAAAAAGGTATTTATAATGAATAAGTAATTGTTGTTGCTAAGTGCCGTTGGGTCGGGTAGGTTTCCTTGGAAACCCTACACCCTACCCTGTGTAGGGTTTCCAAGGAGTGACTGGTGAGCTTGAACCACCAACCTTGCAATTCAATGACTTTACAGTCCAGTACATGAACCCACAGTGCCAAACTAGGACTCCGAATAAGTCATTAGTCCTGCAAAATCCTATCATGCGATCTCCAACATCATTTCTGTCATCTAAGCCATCTTTTCCAACTACTGATCCTTCCTCTTTGTTTCCAACCTTCACATTCCAATCACCAGTAATTATCAATACATCTTGTTTGCAGGTTTGCTCAATTTCAGACTGAAGAAGCTGCTAGAACTCTTCAATTTCATTATCATGGGCTTTAGTGGTTGGTGTGACAGTTTAGATAAATAGTAGTATTAACTGGTCTTCCTTGTGGACGTCCGAAAATTATCCTATCATAGACAGCATTGTCCTCCAACAAACATCATGAAATATTCTTTTTGATGAATGTGAGGCCATCTCTTTTAATTTGCCATTTCCGGTATAGTAAACCATATAGTTGGCTGATTAAAAATCACCATGCCTAAGATATGGATCTTTATGCTTTCCATTTCATTTTGAACAACTTCCAATTTTCCTAGATTCAAACTTTATACATTCCATGTTCTGAATATTAATGGATGTTTATAGCTGTTTCTCCTCATTTTGAGTTGTGCCCCATCAGCAACTGAAGATTCTCCAAGTTTTACTCCATTTGCATTATCAGGGTCAACTCTACTTTGAGGATACATCTCTTCCCCAGTCGTAGTTTGAGTGCCTTCCAACCTGAAGAGCTCATCTTCTGACACTGTATCTAACAATATTCTGGTGCTATTCATCATGTTTCAACACTCAGTATTCTAGTGCTATATGAGTGTTCCACTGCTATTCATAATAATGTTTTCAGGGGCTGAACATTCAGAAGTAGTCCATCTCTCCTACTTTCTACTCTGTCTTAGTTTGGAACCTTAGCTGAAACCCGTCCACCTTAGGTGATCATTTTATACTTAAAATACCAGTAACATAGCTTCCAGGATCACAGGTCAAGCCACACAGTACAACAAACTGACAGACAAGTAGAGCGACTATTCTCTGTAATATTATAATAGTGCTTTTTATAACAATTCATTGTGAGATAAGGATAACTGGGTGGGGGCCTTGTCCCAGTCTCAACTAGAAAGAGTGCTATGCACAATTTAAAAAGTCATTCACTGTGCTGACTTTGTATGCTATATTGATTCTTAATAATATTAAAACCTATTTAACTTCATGGAATATAAGGTAACCACAACAGAGGTGATGGGGTCAGGGGTTTACTTCGGGTGTTTGGGAGGGCAATACAAGAAGTGGGAGGAGCTGGAAGAACAAGATAGATAGGGAACACTGAGACAGGTTTGCATGGCCTAAGTGGGACAGACGTAAAGAGTGATGTATGCTCAACCTTGGAAAAACAGGGCTCTGTGATACAGGGATCTAGGCATAGTTTGAAGAGCGGAAATAATACTAAGATGCTTGACTGCCGTATGAATATTGGTTTTCCTTGCCTACTATTGTAAAACAGATATTTGAGTGAGATAGAAAGGAAGGTTGGGAAACATGATTACAGAAAACTTGTAAGCCCATCTTCAACCTATAACTGATTGGAATACCTAAAGAGGGTTCTAGAACTTGCCCAGTGAAATAGGCCTCTTGCAAAGGCTTTTGCAGAGTATAGGACCTTAGGTGGAATCCTGAGTACCATCCAGAACCTTCTGAGGTGGGACATTCCCACTATCAAGTACAAGCAGACCATCCTGGAGCAGCTAGAGCGACAAAACACACATCTTCAAAGAAAGATCATAAAGAAAAAGCCAAAACAAAAATGTCAGCATGACTGGTCCCTACAAGAATAAGCAAGCTGTTTGCCAGGAAGCCATCAAGGCAAGCAATCAAGTTCCTTCAGGACAAACTCCCCTCTAAGACTGAAACTCAAAGGGAACACATGAACAGGCATGTAAGATTGCTGGGGACCACACTGGTCTACTAGTGAATGGAAGATGGGAAAGGCAGAATGAAGAAATGGGTTGAGTTCAACCACAGTCCATTGACTCCCATTGACCTGGAGATGAGAGAGAAAAGAGGAAGGGCTGTTTGGTCCAAAGAGTGGTGAGACCTGGGGACACTTGAGCCCATGGACAAGGACACAGCCACAGAGGGCTAGAGCTAAGAGTGAAGCATCCAGCTGATATAAAGTGAGGGGAGAAGCATAAGAACACCCAAACTTACAGACAGTACTCACGTGACCTAGCCTCGTCTTGATAATAAGAACTTGATTAGAAGATTACACACCAAAAAAAAAAACATATTTATTTATTTATTTTGATAAAGGAAACAAGGGTAAATCGCTACAATTTGATGAACCTGACCTATACTCATGGAGGTAGTAACTCTAAATATCAACAGAGAGGGAAGGAGTCTTCAAGTATCAGTGCTATATCCTCTGTACACAGGGTAGATAGGGATGGGCAACTTAGACATTGGTTATGTAAAATGAGGGGGCGATAAAGTCATGAAGTGACTGGCTTACAAGGTTTCAAGAGGGAGCTTAGTTTTAGAGTGGGTGGGGGAAGACAGAGTCACCATGGAATAGTTTTCATCTTGTTTAGATGGGTCTGGTGAAAAGAGATGGGGATAAGATTCATATGATTCAATAGTGAATAACTGTTATCATGACTAATTGCTACTGTCACAATTGTAAAGTTAGAAGTTTTGTAACAAAAACAGGGGAGTTCTTAATCTTACAGTCCAGAAACAAAGAACCCTAGGACCATCAAGGGAGAAGATCACAAGCAGAATGCAGGACCTTATCCAGAGAAGCAGTGACACCAGAGATGGCAGCAGAGATGGAGACATGGAGAGGTGATGCAGCTGAGGACTTCAGATTCATGGGAAGAGAGAGACTGAGAGCTGGCAGCCAGGAGGCAGACTTGCAGAAAGTGCCCTTTGGAGGTATAAATCATTATATATGCCTGAATGATTTTTGTTTTGTTTTGTTTTTTTTAAAAAAAGCTAAAGTGAGTAGAGAGAAATACTGTTAACTGATGGTACATGGAGGTGATTACAATCATTATAATGAAACAAGGTGTATGACTTGTTGAATGTAAAACTAATGATCTGCCCTGTAACCTTCACTCAATCCACAATAAAAACCTTAAAAAAACAAAAAACAAAAAAAAAACCTTAACTTAACTTAACTTCCAAACCCAAACATAAAACTATGAAAAGAATGCTAAACAGAATGAAAACAATTAATATCCATGGTGGTGGTGGTGGTTGTGTGCCACCAAGGCAGTTCTGACTCACAGACTTCCTGTATAGGGTTTCTATGGCTGTAAATCTTTATGAGAGCAGAAAGCCTTATTTTTCTTCCTTGGAGTGAATGACTGATAGATTTGAACTTCTGACCTTGTGGTTAGCAGCCCAGGTCATAATCTACTATGCTACCAGGGAACTTTAATTACTATACGTAGTTGAATGACATTCTTTGATATAAAGTATTGTATTTAGATGCCAAAAGTTTTATTTTATGTGGCATTAGTTTTCTTTCTCAAATGTTTCTTGAAAAATCAAAAAAAGCAAAATGGTTATAAAACTAAGAATAGGCTGAGCAATTAACATGTACATATTTGTCAAAAATAGTTACCTGATTATCATATTTAAGAGACTGTGTCCCAACCAAAAACCGAATGGCATCTGTTTCTGCAGTTTGAGGTGTTAAAGCACGTGCCTGCAGGAGGGAAAAAAATATCTATAAACATTTATGAAGCAAGGCTTACTACATACAGATCAAAAAGCAGTTTATTTCCTCCACTGTTGACGGAGTATAAATTAGTACAAAGTTTCTGGAAAGCGATTTAGAAATATGTGTTAAAACTTTTGTATGTTTTTTAACAGTTCCAAAATTGTAAATGGGCACAAAAATCACGCATTAGAGAAGTAAATTACTTATACTGCCATGGACACATTATTAACGTAACTATAATTTTCAACAGTAATTGACTGATAAAATAATTTCTAGTTCAACAGGAGAGCAAAATAGGGCATCTAGCAATAACAGATTTGTTGTTGTTAAGTGCGGTCAAATCGGTTTCAACTCATAGCGATCCTTTATAGGGTTCCCGAGGAGAGGCTGGTAAGCTTGAATCGCTGACCTTGCAGTTCAAACCGACTTTGCAGTTCAGTGCATTAATCCACAGTACCATACCAGGAGTCCAAAAACAAATTGGTGGTGGTAGTTATGTGCCGTGGAGTCGGTTCTGACTCACAGCAACCCTGTATAGGGTTTCTGAGACTGTAAATCTTTATAGAAACAGAAAGCCTTATCTTTCTCCCACTAAACCACTAGAAGTTTTGAACTGCTGACCTTGAGATTAGCAGCCAGACTCATAACCAAACAATTCTTCTGCAGAGAAGAATTACTAAAACTAAGCAAAATACTCTAAATGTGTTTGAAGTTCTTAGAGCACTACAAAGGCAATGACAGAAAAAAAAAAAAAAAAAAGGTCAAGATTCGGAAAAGAAAGAAAGTCTTGAGAAAGGAACACAATATTTGGCCACCTTTACCTAGAGGCATTTGCCAATTAGGCAAGATAGCTAAGAGGCTGATAACTGAGCTTTTCACAGATTCATGGTGCTGAGGGTACAAAGGGCAAAGTGTAGGAAGCCACAAGATGAAGAAGCTGTAAATTTGTTAGACTTTTGATGAAATGCTAGTATTAGAAGTGATCTGGTTTTATATACTAAGGCTCAGCTTCAAATCATCTCAATCCTTGATTGGACTTTAGGTGATGTGGGCTTGTTTTGTCAGAAGAAAAAGTAAATCCTTAAGGAGCTCAGGTAGTGCAGTGGTTACGAGTCAGGCTGCTAACTGCAAGGTCAGAAGTTCAAAACTACCAGCTGCTCCGCAGAAGAAATATGAGATTTTTCTACTCCCATAGAGATTTAGAGCCTCAGAAACCCTATGCAGGGTCATTTTGAGTTGGAACAGACTCTAAGGCATATCACCACCAGCAGCAGATAGCATGCAAGTTTCTATAATTTTTCACATACAATGTTTAACAACCAATCAAAAATGATATCCAGACAATGAGGTAAGATCACATGACCAAAAACCAAGAGATACAACAATCTATAGAAAAAGACATACACAGCAGTCAGCTAATCAGTTTCCATAGGGAAGCAAGTTTTAAAATTCTAAATTTTGTTGTGCAGGATATTTATTGAGGAGTGCTCTTGAGAATTACACCATGTGAGAAATCAAAGAAGGGTTGTACAGAAAAAAAAGTTGAAATACAATGCAGTTACAACACAGGCCTCAGTCAATCCTACACAGAACTCTAGAGCTATGATTGCACTTCACATTAACACAATTTACTAACACCCCACACTGACCAGTCAGTCACTGGATACAGGCTAATCCCAGGGACAGTAGGGTGATTTGGGCAAAATGGCTTTCTTCAGCTGAGAGTAATTCCTGGAGTTGATCCAGTTTAAAAGGATCAGCCACTAACAACTTCACTAGCTGCTAGATTCCTGAAAGGGAAATCTAAGCAGTGTACCAAAATATAAATTACAATACTATACTTAATATGTTCCCTAATTAAAGACAAAATTAAGAAGCAGGCAAAGAATCTGGGTTATGAGAGGAAAAGATTACATATATGGCTGGATGGGATAAGTATTTTGGGCTTATAAATTAAAATCTAGCTGCTTTTAGTATCACTCCACTTGTAACAAGCCCCTGTAATTTTGCTGTTGTGTAGACAGAATAATGTTATTGTTCTGGGTGCCATCAAGGCGGTTCCAATTCACAGTGACCCTATGCACAACAGGACAAAACACTACCTAGTTGTTACGCTTGAACCTATGGCTGCCGCCACTGTACCAATCCATCTCGTTGGAGGCCTTCTTCATTGACCCTCCACTATACCAAGCACAATGTCCTTCTCTAGGGACTCTTCCATTCTGATAACATGTCCAAAGTATGAAAGACAAAGACTGGCTATCTGGGCTTCTAAGAAACATTCTGGTTGTACTTCTTCCAACACAAATTGGTTTGTTCTTCTGGAAGTCCAAGGTACTTTCAATATTCTTCTTTAACACCATAATGCAAATGTATCAATTCTTCTGTGATCTTCCTTACTCATTGTCCTACTTTCACATGCATATGAGCCAAATGAAAATACCATGGCTTGGCTCAGGTGCACGTCGGACCTCAAATTGATATCTTTGCTCTTGACCATGTCTTTTGCAGCATATTTGCCTAATACAATATTATATCATTTGATTTCTTGACTGCTGCTTCCATGAATATTGATTGTGAATCCAAGCAAAATGAAGTCTTTGACAACTTCAATCTTTTCTCTGTTTATCATGTTATTTATTAGTTCAGTTGTGAGGATTTTCATTTTCTTTACCTTTCAGTATGGAGGTACGATCCATACTGAAGACTAATCATATGGATCCTTAGAATCAGAGCGCCTTTACTGGCTGTGGACAGAGAGATGTGGCTACAGATGAGAGACTCAGAAAGATAGTAAAACCAGAGAGATGAGAAAAACTAAGTCAGCCATGAAAGAGCTAGCCTGACAGTGTTGGCTTCTAAGCAGAGGCATGCAAGTATGCAGAATGCAGAGGAATGCAGCTGGAAAACACATGGAAATAAATTCCATGTCCTCTACCACCACACCCTGAGCCTCCAGGAAGGAACAAAGCCCTACCAATGTCTTTATTTTGTTGTTGTTGTGAAGTGCCAGCGGGTCAGTTCTGACCCACAGCCTGGGGATATTCATGTCAGACTTCTGGCCTATGTATGTTATGATAATAAGTGCATTATTTTAAGCCACTAAGTTTGTGGTGGCACGGTGGATAAGCACTGGACTACTAACCACAGGTCATTAGGTCAAATCCACTAGCCACTACTCAGAAGTCCTATACAGGGTTGCTATGAGTCTAAACTGACTCCATGGCACATAAAGCAACACATTTATGGCAATCTGTTAAGCAGCAACAGAAAATGAATGTACTGCCTCCCACAATTCACTAAATATATCCATTCTGTCTATATTTCCTCCTTTTCACTATGGACCAAGAAATAAGCTTGACTTCCTATTTCCTCATTTTATCATATCTAATTCCATTTTTTGTTGTTTTCTTGTTCCACCCCCACCCCAATTTCTTCAGTTATTCTTTTCAAAACAGGGTAATATAAATAGTTTAACAGCTACCCTGATCATTAACTCTATCTGATTCTCACTTGGTTTCTACACCTGGAGCAACCAGATCTTGGATTTTTGATGCAAGAGAAATTTAGCTTATCAAATTTACATATTATTCTTAGAAAACACAGGCATATTATATATACTCCTACCCTTGCCCAAAAGAGTAAAAAAGGATCAAATTCTAAAATACATTTTAATAAAATCATGGAAATCTGTGCCTAAAGCCGTATTCACATTATTAGACAGCTGGAGGGGATAAAAAACACAAGTACTTGAGTGAAAGTATTTGTTCCCATTGCTAGTAATCCTATATACCCTCTTCTGCAAAATTTGGCTTGTCAAATTTTGGAGTCTTAAACCC